GGCTGCGAACCAAAGTGCTGCAGGTTCAATTCTCAGTCAGGGTACATGCCTGGGTTGCAGGCCATGACCCCCAGCAACCGCACATTGATGTTTCTCTCTCTCTCTACCTCCCTCCCTTCCCTCTCTAAAAATAAATAAAAAAATATATTTAAAAAAAAAAAACAAAGACTTTTTTAAGTAAATTTATCATAATTTAAAGAACTACAGCTAGCTGCAACATGAATCAATCTCATAAATAATGTGAAAGGGAAGAAGACAGTCACAATTCCAAGTATATAAAGTTTAAATATCTGTAAAACAAAATCTTGTTGTTTTATACAGTTTCACACAGTAAGTAAGGATGCTTACTACCATGGAAGATAAACCTATAGATAAAAGCAAAGAGCCCTGGCTAGTGTAGCTCAGTGGATAAAGCACCAGCCTGCGAACCAAAGGATTGCTAGTTAGATTTCCAGTCAGGGCACATGCCTCGGTTGCAGGACAGGTCCCCAGTAGGGGGCCCACACAAAAGACAACCACATATTGATGTTTCTCTCCCTCTCTTTCTCCCTCCCTTCCCTTCTCTCTAAAAATAAATAAAATCTTCAAAAAATAAAAGCAAAGAAATGATATCACAATAGTCAGGATGGGGGTTACCTCTAGGATGGTGGAGGAATGTCATTACTGGGGATTGCGGGGGAGGGAGAGTGAGGGGATGGGGGTTATCAAGGTGTTCTACTTCTTGATCTGGATATTCCTTACATGATTGATAGCTTTATAAATGTTCTTTCAATGGGCAGTTCTCTTCTGAATGTTCTCCTTTCTTAATGAAATGGAAACCAAGGTCACCAACTGGGATTGAGGGAAGGTGTTGAAGATTTGATGAGAAGGAAAATGGTATGAAAGAAACAAACAAGTTGGAGAGTGAACAGAACAGAGAAATATAGTATTTCTTATTTTTTTTCTTTTTATGAAAACTCACAATTTCCTGATTTGTTATGCTTTTTCTATTATATATATGAGGTAGCATTACTTTATTAATTTTAATATATACTATATGCAGTTATCCTAAACATGTAAATTATTATTTAATATTTTTAAAATGAATTTAAATAAAATAAATTTTAAAGCAAAATTAAGTCTCAATAAGCCATATAACTATGATAATAGTTTTAATACACTAGTCATTTATTATTTCAACTTGCATTTTAGAAAAGCTTTATATTAAGACAAAAATACACTGAGTTTATACAAGGAATTTTATTTATTTATTTTTAAAAAGAGGAAAAGGGAGTAAAAAACAGGGAGAGAAACATTGAAGTCAGAAACATCAATTGGTTGCCTTGCACACGTGCCCTGACCAGGGGCTGAACCCAAAACCCAAGCGTGTGCTATCAAACCGGCAACATTTTGCTTCAAGGGATGATGCACAACCAACTGAGCCACACTGGTCAGAGCAGGGAATTTTACTCTTTTTCTTTCAAAAAAGAGTACTTGGTATTTTTTATACCAAGTAGCTTTATTGTTAAATTTTGCATTTTATAAGTTTTAAAGACATCAGTATTAATTACCTCCTTATTTTGTTGATCCCAACTTCAAAAGCCATTTTAAATGTCAGAAAACATAACTACATTAACATCACAAAACTAAATATTGACACTTAAAATTAAGAGAAACTATAATACTTTTATACTTTACTCAGAAGATTTAAATGGAGAAGTTGATAGGTTTATATAATTTTATAACTTCTCCTGTTTTTATATGAATCAATTGGTAAAAATCAACTATTTAAATTATAACATGCTTTGGTTGTAAATCCATACTTATATTATAATTCCATAGCTTCAATATTAATTTTTCTCTTGTAAATTTGAAGTTGTTATAAAGGCAAATATAGTAAATTGAAACCACCAATGTAGGCTTAAAATATGCATGAGATTTCATTTCCTAATATTCTACAATAACTGTGCCATTGTCATGGAGATAAAAGGTTTTTATTTATTTTTTAAAAATATTTTATGTATTCATCCTTAAAGAGAGGGGAAAAGAGATGGAAAGGGAGAGAAACATCAATGTGTAGTTGCCTCTCACACATCCCCTACTGGGGACCTGGCCCACAACCCAGGCATGTGCCCTGACTGGGAATTGAGCCAGCAACCCTCTGATTCACAGGCCGGCACTCAATCCACTCAATCCACTGAGCCACACCAGCCAGGGCTAGATAAGAGTTTTTTTTTAATTATATTTTATTGATTATGCTATTACAGTTGTCCCATTTCCCCCCTTCTCTCCCCTCCACCCTGTACCCCCTCTCCCACCCACGTTTCCCCCCTTTAGTCCATGTCCATGTGTCATACTTATGAGTTCTTTAGCTTCTACATTTCCCATACTATTCTTACCCTCCCCCTATTTTCAACCTACATTCTATGCTACTTATTCTCTATACCTTTTCCCCCCTCTCCTTCTCCCACCCCCCTGCTGCTAACACTCCATGTGCCCTCCATTTCTGTGGTTCTGTTCCTGTTCTACTTGTTTACTTAGTTTCTTTTGGTTTTGCTTTAGGTGTGGTTGTTAATAATTGTGAGTTTGCTGACCTTTTACTATACATGTCTTTTTCTTTATCTTCTTTTCTTAGATAAGTCCCTTTAACATTTCATAAAATAAGGGCTTGGTGATGATGAACTCCTTTAACTTGACCTTATCTGAAAAGCACTTTATCTGCCCTTCCATTCTAAAAGAGAGCTTTGCTGGATAGAGCCATCTGGGATGTAGGTCCTTGTCTTTCATGACTTGGAATATTTCTTTCCAGCCCCTTCTTGCCTGTAAGGTCTCTTTGGAGAAATCAGCTGACAGTCTGATGGGAACTCCTTTGTAGGTGACTGTCCCCTCATCTCTTGCTGCTTCTAGGATTCTCTCCTTTGTTTTTACCTTGGCTAATGTAATTATGATGTGCCTTGGTGTGTTTCTTCTTGGGTCCAACTTCTTTGGGGCTCTCTGAGCTTCCTGGATTTCCTGGAAGTCTATTTCCTTTGCCAGAATGGGGAAGTTCTCCTTTATTATTTGTTCAAATATGTGCTCAATTTGTTGCTTTTCCCCTTCCCATTCTGGTACCCCTATAATTCGGATGTTGGAACGTTTAAAGGTGTCCTGGATGCTCTTAAGCTTTTCCTCAATTTTTTGAATTCTTATTTCATCATGCTTTTCTGCTTGGTTGATTCTATCTTCCTTCTGGTCCACTGTATTGTTTTGAGACTCAGATTCCTTCCTTTCACTATTGGCTCTCCTCCACGTATCTTCCTGCATCTCTTTTATGGTAACCTGCATCCTTTCATCTAAATTGCACCCCAAATCAATCAATTCTGTGAGCTTTCTGATCACCAGTGTTTTGAACTGCACATCTGATAGATTGGCTATTTCTTGGTTGCTCAAAAGGATGAGTTCTGGGGCACTGATTTGTTCTTCTATTTGAGCCATCTCTCTCTCTCTCTCTCTCTCTCTCTTTTTTTTCTCTGGTCGCTCCTGTTACGGTGGGGGGCGGAGCCTTAGGTGTTCACTGGAGCTGGGCACCCCAGTCGCTAGATTGTGATGTTATATGTGGGGGCGGGGGCAGGAGCGGGGACGGGAGGGAACAATGGCGGTAGTTCCGTTCTCCTAGGCTCAGACCCTTCTCTGGGATCTTGGGCTGCGAACTCTGCCCTGGTCCACAATCGCTGCCTCACTGGGTCCGCCAGCCGCAGCTTGTGTACTCAGGGATCACCGCTGTGTTCTTGCGCCCCAGATGGCTGTCGCGCTGATTTCGGGCCAAATTTTCCCCGACCTCCGCGCGCCGCTGACCCGCACCAGCCCCGCGCCTGCCTGGCTCATCTTCTACCAGTTTGGATGTATGGGTCTACTTCAACTTCTTGGCTGTCCAACTACTTCAACTTCTTGGCTGTCCAACTTTCATTCAGATAAATCCTCTATCAGTTCTGAGTGTTATTCTATCTGTAAATTATTGTTGTTCTAATCTTGGTTGTACGAGGAGGTACGATGAGTCCACCTATTCCTCCATCTTGCCGATAAGAGTTTTTTTAAAGGATTTGAATCTACAAATATTGAATCTAGAAATACTAAAATTTCCAGTTCTCAGATGGTTCAGGAAAAGTATTGTGAGTGTGTATAGATAGAGAATGAATTCTCAAATAATAAAGCAACTGTTAATAATGTTAACAGTGTCAAAATTTGGGTAAAGGGTGAGTGTTATTTATACTTTTGTTATGCTCGCAAATTTTCTATAAGTTTGAAATTATTTCTAAATAAGTTTTAATGGAGAAAGCAACATAGAGTGGCAGTGGCTTAAGTGGCAATTAACAGCATATGTGGAAAGAAATGCATCTTTGCATTAAAAAATAGGTGAGTACAGTAGTTTATCTTCTTTTCAGCTTAAAAACAAAGTCATAGCTAAGTTACAAATTTTTGTAAACAATATTTTCTTTCTTCTGAGGTAGCCTTGAAATATAATCAGATGCTCTTGTAGTTTTCCTTCCCTTGTGAAGACTGTGTCCCCCCATCCTTGAATCCACAAGCAGAGTACTTCCCCAACCCATCTAAGTCTGCATGGTATCAGAGGTAGGAACTCATCTGTAGCTATTCTGACCAGCCATTTTCACTTGACCTTGCTGGCAAATGCTCTCTGCTCTCTTATCACCTATAGTGTTGTCTTCAACTTTTGTGATATTCAGTCAGGCATTCTCACTTTAAAGGATCTACAATCAATCAGGTCATTACAAATGACAAATTCAGTTCAGTAAGGATGTGCCAGTGGAGGTCATTATCATATCTATAAGGGGAAAACTGCAACATATGTCATCTTGGAAATCCTCAAAATTCCATTTGAAAAGAATGGGACAATTAAGCAATGTTTCTGTTGGTGAAATTTCAGTTTCTATAAGTGTTGCTAATGGCAAACGTCATCAATAACACAAACTGATAAAATATTCCAATTGAAAGTCATTTTATTATCATTATCAGCAGCAGCATCATTATCATTAGCACAAAACTAAATCCACTAATAAAACAAAATTACACCCCAAAAGTATGTGTCTTACAGACAGTGAGTCGTTAACATTATCTTCATGTACAAAAGACAGCACCCTGAAGATAATGACCATATCACAGCTTGGTAATTAATTCAATAATTCAACTAACATTATTGAGCACCTAGGCACAAAAGGAGATTTTAAAATGTGTACAAGAATTCCTGCTTTTAAGGAGTTTTACAGTCTAGTAGGAGGTGTTGAGGAACACCAAGTACACAGGGCCACATGAGATCAGTGACATAATGGAATCAGTGCCATGTACAAAATGTTATCACAAGAGACTATGGTCACATTTGGTTGTGGGAAATCAGGAGAGAATACACAGTGAAGATGGCATCTAAGCTGGGCTTTGAGGTTGTGGAAAGATTTTCGCAGAGTGGCATATGGAAAAGAGGCACTGGAGACAAAGAGAATTAAGTATGGGCGAAAACATGGCCACAGGAACATTTGTGACCTTTTAGGGGAAAAAACAACAGTTTGGCTGGTGTATGAAACCTAAGTAAGTGGGAGTGGTGTGATAAAATGCTGAAAGTTAAATGTGTACCATATTTTGAATGGCTCTGAACTACAGGTTAAGATTTCTGATCTTTCATCTATGTCACAGTAATTATATATCTACAACAATAGAATATGAAATGATCTGTGAAGAGATATGGTCATTTCACTTCCAGACTTCTTAGGGAAACTAAAGTGGTTTCTAGGCAATGTCATTGCTTTGCAATAAAAAATGTCACAGTAGATAACCCCAAGCAATCTATAGTAATTTTTTTTCTATTTTACACGCAACTATATCTCTTCCCTCAAAGTCTATTATTTTTATCCATCTAGGGACCACAGCTGTACTCACTCTCACCTCCAGCCCACCAGTTCGTGTGGCACCTAATCACTTGAAGCAAGTCTAATTTAGGATTTCCAGCTATAACTGCTACCCTAAAGCTAGGACCTACAACTGTGAGAAGTGAGAGTAGTGGTGGTAGGTGTATGAACAATGTCATAAAAATGTAGCCATATGAGAAGTCCTATGTAATCCCCATCCTAAGAGTCAAGCTTATTTATTTAAAATTAGAGCGTCTGGTCCTCCACTCAGTTTGGTGCAGAGGATAACTGGAAAAGTTCCAAAACTCACAGTGCCTTATTAAAGTTTCCTCTTATTGTCAAAGAGGAAACTTCTTTTAACGTTTCCCCTTATCGTCAAAGAATTCCTTAAGGAATAACATTTCTTCTGGGTTACAAGTTCTTTAAAGGCCTCCTGGGTATAAGGCTGTTGAAGCTGTGGATAGACAGGAGTGACCAAGGAATGCCAGCTGGGCTTTGTTTGTGCCCTACAAGCTGGTGGTTGGGAACTTCTCTAGTGCACTGACAGTTCAAAGATGCTAAAGAATAATTGTATTAGGTAACCAAGCCAAAGAACTAAGCTATTTAAACTTAGAATAACAAACTTGCCATGGCCACACTTCTTGCAGCTACTCAGTCTTTCAGCTCTTCCCTGGAACGAGACTTCCTCTGAAGGAAGTCATGGATAGCAGTAGTGAGGCCCCATGTTACACTGGACCTTAGGATGACGAGGGAGCCTCCACGATAAATCAGGAACACCTTTCGGCCCCGAGTGTCCCACATGTCCCAGGCAGAGGCCCACAGGCTGGGCATGCTCTGCCAGCCAATATGGGACTGCATATTGGCAACCAGCACAATCAGAGGATAGAGAACTAAGCAGGTGATCGTTCCATTGACACTCCCAGACACCAAGGCAGGAACCCAGTGGGGTAGCCCTTGCTTTGCCAAGCCATCCTGGATAGGGTCCTTGAAGGAGAAATACAGACCACTCCCCAGGCTGTTCCTGAGAAGAACAGGCCAGAAACCACGATAGTAGCCTAGTGACAGCCGCCCCCAAAGCCCATATGAGTTGAATTCCTTGAGAATGCTGAAGGTGGTAGGGAAGCGAGCTTGCTTGCGACCATCCTGGAGCACATTTTGTACTCTTTCAAAGGGGCTGAGTGCCACAGCCTCCACAACACCAGACATGAGCCCCGCAGCCCAGCGGTGTCCCAGGGAGTGTGGACCATCAGGGGAGAGAGAGCACAGCAGGCTATCGTAAGTCCCAAACAGTAGAGTCCCTTGCAACGTCTTGGAGAGAAGAGGTGGGTAGATTCCCCGGTAGAAGTACTGGGGGCCTTCATGCCAAAGCTGTCGCAGAGCCTCTGACACTGCCATAGCATGGATCTGTTGCCGGAACACAACCTTGTAAATAGGAAAGGTCAGAAAAGTAGACATAAAATTGGAAATGGCCCCAAGGGCGTAGGCCTGGGAGTGCCAGATTTTCTTTCCAGGAGTTTCTGATTGTGTCCAGTGCTGAAGCTCATTCCCAGGAGAGTGGTTCTGTTCCCCCATGCTGGAGACAACTGGGTGCAGATGGAAGAAACTGGCAAGAGTTTGGGGGGAGGGTGGGAAGAGGTTAGGCTGACCGTTATATCTGTTGGTGAGAATTTTCACTATTTAATTAGAAAGAGCCCCAAAAAGCTCAGTTTAAGGAAACAAGCCAGTCTTTGGGACAGTTTCTGAGAAATAAGCACACTGTTAAGAAAAAACTAAAACAAAGACATTTAGTTTTTCTGGACAGAGTTACCTCTATAGTGTTTGGCTACACAGTAGAAGGTTAGAAGGTTTAAGATTGAAGAAAATAAAATTGAAAGAAAGGCTCCAAAACATGTTGCATTTAACTTCCACCAAATGAAAATTCACATTTGATAAATTGCTAGAATCATAAGTTACTATTCTCTTTCTGAAAAGCAGCACTATCTTGTTGAGGCAGAAAGGCATTCAAAAGTTATAGTTCTGTACTTTCTCTAAAAATTGGCAAAAATTTGGGTGGTGGAGAGTCTCCCTCTATTTTCTTTCTTTAGATTCTTGCCAATGTTGTAACTATTTCATGGCAACACCCAACCCCCCTCCCCAGAATAAGGAGCAGAGAGAGGAACTGTTTCTGGAAATTTAGTGTCAAAAGGCTCCATAGCTAGCAATTTCCAAGTCTAACCCTATAGACTTGTAGCTACATGACACAGCACAGGTTTTCAGCCTTGATGCTATTTAGGCCAGATAATTCTTTATTTTAGTGCCTGTCCTCTGCATGATACAATATTTAGCAGTATCCTGGCCTCTACTTGCTGGGTACCAGTAGTACCAATTGTGACCTACCCAGCTGTGACAACCAAAAAATATCTCCAGACATTGCCATATATCTCGGGGAGAGGACAGACAAAATTGCCCTTGGTTCAGAACCATTATACTAAAGAGAAGGAGCAGTACTCAAGAAGGAATTAATGCTCAGTGCAGATCTGAGAACCTGAGGGAGTTTGTCAGGAAGGAAGGAAGGAAGGGCTCTGCTGGGCTCAGAGGACAGGGTGTGCTGCAGTGGGAGATGGTGTGTGGGGGAAAGAAAGCATAGATGTATGCGGAGGAGAGGGGAGAAGGGAGGAGAGAGCAATGACCAGGCTAGGAACTCAACATCTAGATTGACAGGAAGCCTGGTAGGAACTGCGGACCCAGAGGATTCACACAGAACCCTTGGCTGTGTGGTCCTGAGGTGAGGGAGGTTCTGAGGCTTAAATTACACTAGCAGTTGATGGCCTGCTCAATAGGGACAAAGGGATACCCTAGGCTGAGGCCAGGGGGAGGGGGAGAAGCCAGGCACTGCAAGAAGCACACTACAGCCTTCCCTGGGCTGCTGCACCCAGAACCTGCCTTGAAGGGCTCCTCCCTATGGAATCAACCCATCAGCCCTTTTTTCTGGCTTCTTGTTCCAGTTCCATCCATGATCCCATAAGCTCATCATACAACCCCCCACCCCAAGCCACACTCTAACATTGTCTCTTGGTGGAGGGGGCACAGAGGCTCAGCCTCCCCTGCTGTGCCATCACCCCTCCCCCACCCCACATTCCCTGTTTGCTTTAAGCCTCACCTCCTCACCCCCATGGCCAGAAGGAGACTAGGAGGGCCCTTCTGCCTGGGACCCTTTAGCTGAGAACTGACCTGGAGCAAAACTCCTTGCATCCTTCTGGGGCACTCCTGGGGCCCTGGCAGTCACCTCCATGTCTCCAGAGCCAAAAGGGACCCTTCCCCCACCTCCAGCAGGAGGTAGCTCCACCCAGAGCCACAGGGGCCCCCAACATTCCCCAGCCATCCTCCCAAGGGATTTCTTCCCCAACTTTTACCTGCACCTAAGTAAAGATGGGTGGTGAGGGAAATGTCTGTACCCTCTTCTGTCTCAGAGTGCAATAATGTTCCACTTCCTCCTCACATTTTCCTGAGTGACTTATAAACATGTGTTGCCTAGCTGCATAAGGTAGGCTTACTTAGAAGGAAGCAAACTGGGCTAGGAATTGCCAGACTAGAACTAAGTGCCAGTCTGTTATCAACTTCCTGTGTGATATTTGGAAATTCATTTACATCTTGAAGCCTCCTCTGTCTGAGTTATAAAATGAACAAACAGGGTGAAATGCTCTCTAAGCATCCTCATACTGAGCACATCAGGGGGTGACATGGGGGTATTTGGGCAAATATTTGACAGAGGAGTTAATTGCAATTTTTCATCCTTGATTTTTCTGCCCTTTTGCCAATCCTTTTCAGGGATTAAAGGTGAATAATTTAGAAATATCTTACCTTAAATATCTAGTTAGTCATTTTATAAATCTAATTTTTCCTATGTAATGGGGGAGGGGAGGGTCCACTTTTCTCTGTTAAGATGTTAGTCTTTGGAGGCAGACAGACCTGAGACTGAATTCTGACTCCACACTTACTTAGTTGTGTCATCTGTCAAGACACTTCACTCAGTTTCTTCGGCTACACATAGGTTTCTTTAGATACAAATAGGGACAATGGGTCTCCCTTAAAATGTTGTTGCAAAGATTAATAAAATCAAATGAGACACAGTGGTTGAACATCCATGGCATGGTGGCCTCAACAAACTAGGGGTGGGGGGGATGACTGTGGCAGGTTGGAGGAACTGAGCAAAAAAGAAAAAGAGAAAAATGCATGGACACGAACAACAGTGGTGTTTGCAGGGGTGGGTGGGGACTGGAAGGACTGAGCAAAAAGAAAAAAAATAAAAGTTTAAGTATTTTTCATTAAAAAAGTTAAAACAAAAAAAGATGCTTCCTGACCTCACATCTGTCTCCACAGAGCAAAGATTCCTGCAGGATACTCCCAGGACAGCCAGATCCAGATGACATGGTATAGTGGAACCAATTCCATGTTCATCAGGAGGCAGGAAAGACCTTTCTTCTGTGAGTGCCAAGGTGTTATTAAGCAATCCCAGACAGCCTGGCTCCTTAAGATGAGCTCCAAAGTCAAGACCACAGGATGGGCCTAGAGAGCCTTGAGCTGTTATCTCCTGTACCCTATGATGTGCCTCCTGCATTTACAGCCTAGTAAAGTGAACCCAGGGGATTCCAGACTCCCCTGGGCAGACTAGCCCAGATGGATAGGCTGTGTGATCATCCCAGCATCCAACCCCACATATGCCCATTCATGCAGGGCATACCTGAGCCAGTCTTTTGGTTAGCTCACAAACATGTATGATCATCTACTAAATCACTGTGGGTAAATCACCATGGAGCTAGAGGTGAATAGGACTTGGTGCCTGCCCTCAAAAGCTTGGAAATCTAGTGGGGGAGATGGATCAACGATGAGCTAATCTGTACTGGAAGGAAGGCAAAATAAAGTGTGTAATCAAGGTCAGAGCAGAAAGACAAGAGCAATGTATTCCACCTAGGACACAGAGCAGCCCAAATTTTTCTCCAAGCAGGGGCATCTCTGACTTGATCTTTAACCAGTGAGCAGACTCTCATTAAGTAGAGTGATGAAACCAGACATTCTGGGCTAAGGAAGAGGCCTAAGAAACAGTGGCCTAAAAGCACAAGTGGTGCATGGCACTAGATGCAGGCTGTGGGAAGCAAACAGAGCTATGGCTGACAGAGAAGAGCCAATTTAGAATGAGGGTCAATATTTGTTTTTCCCACTGTAGTGCATTGTGGCCTACAGACACAGGCTCTGGATTCTGGTAGCTCTGGGTTTCAATTTTGCGACACCACTTCCCAGCTTTATGACCTTGGCCAAGTCTTCACCTCTCTGCACCTCAGTATCCTAATCTGTAAAATGACTGTCATGGAAGATACATGAGATGAAGTATATAAAATGCTTAGTTAGCATGGTACCTAGTATTTAAATTGCTCTATGTTACATTAGTAGTTTCACTTAAAAAAAAAAAAAGAGATCCCAGGAATAAACTATATTACAACAACTAAAGGCTGAAATCAGTCTAATGCACTGGGTCATCTTCAGAGGTCCATTTTTATTATCTGTTTGGAAGACAGCAGAGAATAGTTCATGGCTTTTGGAGTTTGGCAGCCCTGGGATGGAGTCCCAATACCTCTACTAACCACTTGTATGACCTTATATAACTTAACCTCCCTGAAATTGTTTCTGGATCTGCAAAATGGGATAACAATGCCTGTCTCAACAGGGTTGCTGAGAAGCTTAAATGAGATAACATATGGAAAGTTCCTGGCACAGAGGAGGCAGGCAGCCACGGGAACCTATTATAGTTTCAATTGAAACCTTTTATCCCCCAAACCTTTGGGCTTTTAAGTTTCCTTTGTTGAAATTGGAAAATGTGGTCACATTAGAGCCATAAATTGAAACACACTCCCCACACGAGGCCAGAGATAAGGAATGCTCTGTACCCAGTTGAAGCCAGATTAGCAAATCCTCCTCCCAGCCTTGCACAAACAGACCTTCACTTTGTTCTAATGGCCCTATGCAGGCACCTTTACACAATCCATTTCTTTAACTATTTTTGTCAGAGCTCTAAGATGTACTCTTTGTCCTATTTGATCCACTGCACTACATCTAACTGCAGATCAACTAATTTGGCAAGGAAGCCAATTTAAACATACAAGAATCTGCTGAGACCCTAGGTTAGATGTCATGGGATTGGGGAACAGAAGCAAGAGTCTAAAGGAAACCCAAGAGCTACTGTGCATTACCACTGACTGTGTGAGGTGAACCTTCTACCTCCCACACCCTCCTTTCTCCTCCCCTACTGTTCCATCCACAACAGAAAGTCCACAGTCTTCAGGTGGAAGGCGCGTCATCTCAAAATTGGACTGTTTACTTCAAGGAACTCCAAGTATTGTGATTGTAAATAAGAAGGCAGGAAGGAACAGGTGAAGTACCTCAGCAGGTTGATGATGAGCCAACCCAGCATTCAACGGGCATCCAATTGTTCATTTGCTTTCAAGTATCAAGAGTGTAGAACAGGACCCACAGGGGGCCTCCTAGCCACAGTTGACATAAGGGAAGTGAAGACCTGCTCTCCAAGAACTAGAAGTCATGGAAAATGGAGCAGGTTTCCCAGCCCCTGGCTTCATGACCCATTCACTCTGGACAGCCCTGCATGCCGTTTCCATGGAGTTGCTCCTTCTCTGGGGCCAGTGATGGCAAATACAGCAAAGGAGAGGTTCCCTCAAGAGCTCACAGAAGGGCAACCTAGCAACCTGTCCTGAAGCCAGGAAATGAAAGAGCTCTATCAGTGGCAGAGAGCTGTGGTTGGGGGTTAGGTCAAATTGTATTTCATTTCTCACTCTTCTTTTTCAAAGTTGAAAGAGGAAGCTGCTACAAAGAAAGATTGTAGGGGAGTGGTTCTGGACTCCCGACTCATTTGAAAACCTACCAAGCTATGGACTCAGAGTCCACAGAGTCCAAATTCTTTGCCAACAATTTTAGGAAGGGCCCTGGGTAAGAACCTCTGCTCTGGAGTTGCATCTCATGACAGATATGCCGTGAACAGGTACATTAGCAGTAGTTCTATGTACTTATTGCCATCAGAATGAGGTGGTGTTTTTGACAGTGGTTCAAAAACTTCTCTACAACTCAGAATTCACAATAGCACCATTTAAAAATATAAATTACACTTCCCAACCCAGTCTTAGTAAATCTAAATCTCCCAGAGGTGGATCTCAGAAATCTGCATTTCTCACAAACTCTCCAAAATGATTCTGAGACAGCTAGACTTGTACACATACTTTGGTTAATAGCATGGGTTCTGGCATCAGATTTGGTCCAAATTTTGGCTTCACCTTGTAACTTAAGGTGTCATTTCACTCCTGAGCCTTATCTCTTTTTGGGTTATAAGCTGTAGAAATAATGTTTTACTTTTGTAAATAAACTGGCAGCTTGTTGTAAAAAAAAAACAAAACACTGTAAAAAAAGTGTGGTTGAAAGACAGAAAGAATGCCTCAGTTTCCTCTTAGGTACAATGGGTACAGAAAAAAACTTCCCCCACCACTCTCCTTGCTGCCTCTTCATGCCCTCCCTCTATACTACCAGATCACCAAGACTACTGTTGGTATGGTTTGAGACCACCTATATAAAAAAAGCTCTCTAGGCAGCTCAATAGAGCAAGTAGCATTTGAAGAACAACTGACTTGGGTGCAAAATAGAATGGTAGTTATTTGCTGTGTGATTCCAGGCATGATACCTAACCTCTTTGTGTCTGTTTTCTTATCTGTAAAATGGAGACAGTAATCCTTGCTCATTAATTCTATATCATTCCAAATGGGCCCTCCCATGTCCACTTTGGCTTTTCTCCACTAATCCTCAATCTGAGAGTACAGAGAGTATTTACAAGACATAGCCTTTGAAATCAGACATGTCGACTTGGGCTGGAGCTCTACACTTCCTAACTGTGTGGCCTGGGCGCTTAAGTCCCCTGTCTGTTAAATGGGCACGCCGCTACCTCCTTCTTAAGGCTGCTGAGAAGAATCAATGAATATTCGAGCAAGCGAATTTGCACGCAGAAAGCGCTCAGTAAATGTTTTTCTCCATTTCCCCCATACAAAGGTGAGGAACTGATATTGTTCACTTGATTTCTGTCCCACCTTGTGTTTAAGGCATCCAGGCACAAAGCACGAAGGAAAGTGAGGTAGAAGGGGAGGGGAGAAGGGAAGAGAGGGGAAAAGCAGCAAACTCACGGGTAGAATACAAATCGGCCGGTTCCTGCCTCCGAGCTGCACTTGACACCGTGCTGGCTCCCGCGCCTGTGTGCCGCAGCCCCCGCCGGCTGGCTCCCCACCTATGCTAGCAATGGGGCCCAAGGCTGCGCGGGGAGGCCGCCTCCGCGCCCCGCTGATTGGTCGAGCCTCCGGGCTCATCATGCTCTTTTGTCTCAATGGGCAAAGGCTGAAAAATCGGCGGCTGTTGGGAAGGCCTAGCGGGTAGGCGGGGATGGACACCGCCGCTGTGGGAACCGTGAGGCCTCCACTTAGCTCCCCCTTGCTGGGAGGCCGTACGGAGCAGCATATTTTAGCATCTCCAAGTCACTTAGTGGCGAGAAAGACGTCATTTTCCCCTCCCTGCTTCCCTGCTCCAGGCCCTCGGAGGTATGGTGGCATCCACGGTGGTACAAGCGGGACCATCCGTTGCCCGCTGGCCGAGTACAGGTACAGAAAGGGGCTGCGACTGCCCAGCGCGGAGAGAGGCCCAGGGCGGGAGACTCACCAGGACTGCAGGACTCCATGCCTGGTAAATAGAAAACTGAGCTAGGGGTAGTAGCTCTCTCTCCCATAGCTCGTCTGCTTTAAGGAAGGAGGTGGGGTGCCACTGAATACTGCCTAAAGGGTAGGATTGGCTTGGATTGAAAAGGAGGGGTCTTGGGGTGGCGTGATAAGGGGCTGGGTGGGAGGGGGATCGATAGCTATATGCCAAAAACCCCTTTGCATCTCATCTCTTCCTGAGGAGGAATATGTGGGTGTGCATTTCCAACTCCTATTCCCTTTCTCCGTGACAGGCCATCAAAGCCGAATGTGAATTTGAATGCTGTGCAGCTGATTGCAGAGCTGGTAGGCTGATTATTTTCTTGGGTAAATGTACTGGAGGGGTCGCTTCCGCTTGTATTCATAACATGGGAGAGAGAATTTTCCATCTGGCTACAGAGGAGGTTGGAGGGGGAGAATGAGATGAGGGAATGAGGCAGCTTCTGACTCTTCCCTGTGAGGATTCAGTCTTGAATGCCTGAGGGCTGGAATATTCAACTCCTGTGGCTAAAGGTCGACTTACCCTAGAAGCGAGCTTTCACATATACCGAGGGCACCTGTTACAGAGGCTGGACACGAAAAAAAAGGTGTACACTTGTTTTGGAGCTCAGGTAAGAATCTGAGAAATAGTGGGCAAACTTTGAGAAGGCCCTATAGTTGAAACCTGAGACCAAGAGCTTAATGTAGACTTTATTGGTTACCACAAATCTGTAAGACTTAGACTATTGCACTCTATTCTGAGACCGCAGTTCAGATCCACACACTATTTTACCTGGAATTAGAAGCTACAGTTTGCCCACCTTCCTCCCTCCTGGAGGATTGGTAGGAGGGGATGTATGTGGCTGTGAAAAGCATCCTTGCTAGCAAGGAATACCTGCTAGCTCCATAAGGTTGTAATTGACAGTTTCCTGCAGGGTAATTTTAGGGCAGTGGGAAAATATAAAATGTACTGCAGGGCATTCAGGAAGGTCGAGAAAGCTGCTATAGACTGTTTCCCTGGGTCTACTACCTTACTGACATCTTACCCCCTTTTCTTTACAGTTTCTATTGAGATACAAAGAATGCAGAGACCAGGAACATTGCTTTAGGAATTCCTCCCATAGACTAGGATTTTCTGAAAAGCCTGAGCATCTTGTCATATATAGACTATCATTAATCCTCATTGCATGCGTGGGTAATAGCTGGTGGCTGAACACACCCTTGCTGACTTGGGCCCATTCCATGTTGAGGTCCTTAGGGAGCAGTCTTGGTCTTCTAAGGGTTAACATGGCAGAAGGAAACAAAGTTGTTTTCAAGAAGGGAAGAAACCTTTGAAAACTAGCTAATCCAAGTCAGTGGGGTCCCTGCCAGATTGGAATATGTCTGAGGAGGAAAAACTCAAATGCTTGATGAAAACACTTAGAAGCCCTGCCTCGGGAGGTTATGCATTTGCTTCAGGCAGCCAACCCCAGCCTAAGTGTGGCAGATTTCATGCAGGCAATGAAATTGGTGTCTGGGGAGTCTGAAAGCAGTGTGACTGACTGCTCATGGCAAATTTTTAAACACCCTACAAGAACAAGGGGAGAAAACCTCCCTTTATGTGATCCGTTTAGAGATGCAGCTCCAGAACACTATTCAGGCAGGGATCATAGCTGAGAAAGATGCAAACCAGACTAGCTTGCACCAGTTCCTTGTAGGGGCTGAACTGAATGGGGACCTGCACTACAGGCTGAAGCATCTCCTTAGGATGTATGCAAATAGTCAGGAGCATCTTTTCAATTTCCTGGTATTAATCAAGATAGTAAAGGAGAGGAGGATTGGGATGATAATTTTATGAAGCAAAAAGAGGTCAGGAGATCTGAGCTAATCATGGAGAGTGCAGCAAGTCATGTGGCATTTCAGGGCATGCAACCAATTGTGATCAACAGTGCTGACTGGAATTAATGGAGCTAGATGATATCCTCAATGACTCAGATGAGGATGTGATCCTAGTGGACCCTCCACTTCCATCCAAGGTGCCCCTCCCCTCAGAGATAGGGCCAGACCTCAGGATCAAACACTGGTCATTGATTTCCCCAACAGTTCCCAGGTTCAATCTCCCAAGTTCCATCAGTGGTGGTTCTGGGTATAAGAATGACGATCCTGGGGATATGCATAGGAGCAGAAAGCAAAGATACACAAGCTGCTGTTCATACTATGGCATGGACGGTCACTCCAAGGAAACCTGTGACAAACTTGTTAGAGAAACAAGCCCATGTATTTGAGAACCTGATTATCACCCTTCATGAGCTGACACATACAGAGGAAGGATCAAAAGAGGTCCCTGGTGAACACAGTGGCCCCTCTGAGCCACAGTAAGGTACTAGACCCAGCCCTATGTAAACCCTTAGCTATATTCAAAGACTGATGATGACAAAAATAGATGGGGGTAGGTTTCTATCTGCATGAATTAATCCACAAAGTGATTTTCTTTTGTGAAGAAGAGGTCTTAGATACCAGCAAAGTGGCAGGTATGGCCTGACCTCTGTCCCTGCTCCCTCTGTCTCCTTAAGGGTCTATTCTCTGTGTGTCTATTTCCTTGCAGACTTGATTCATTTTATGAAATAAGTATAACTCTTTATTAAACCTCCAAAAATATAAAAAATAGAAAAAATAAGTACAAATTACCTGACACTCTTCACTCATATAACTATTGTCAGCCCTTTGCTGAATGTCCTTCTAGATATTTCCTTATACCTGAGTACCCAGATAGATATCATGTACAAATAAAAGAGATACAATATAAGTGCTATTTTATGCTGTGTATTTTTCACCAAGTAATATATCTTCTAGTTTCAGAATGTCTTCTATGTATGATATTGTAACCGAGCAAACCAGGGCTTGGCCACATGGTGCCTTGACACATGATCCAACAGTTAATGCTGAAGAAAACAGGTTTTTATTAGCAGGGTTCCAACCTTGGGCAGGAGGCAGGGGCTGAGAGCACTCTTGCTCAGAGCCCTCTTCTCCCACAAGATTGAGAACTCCCCTTGCTCTCCAAAAGGCTACAAGCCAAAACTGTGCCCAGAAGTTGCCCATATCCTTATCTGTTCTTAAGCCAGCCACGCAAACAGATCTCTGTCCTCCCTTGAATGTGTACTTGTGGGTTTCAGAGTCACCATCTTCTCACAGCAGCTATCTCCTTCAGGATAGACAGGAGGTGTGCTGTTGTCCACCTCCATGTTGTGGTTCAGGAAAACATGTGCTGTATTACAATGGATCATGGTGTAGTCCAGGGAGGCACAGTCCCAAGAGAGTGACTTCTCTGTACGTCCTTCAGAGAAGCTGAAGTCTGCAATTCAGCATTCCCAGTCACAGTCCAGCTCCAAGCATCTCTAATGAATCTGTACTTGGTTAGGCAGGTCCCCATAGTTCCATCAGCTCTGATGTGGTCTTCCCCTGTCTGACCTTCTCCCTCTCTAAACCTTGTGGTGCACTCCTATGTCTCTCTCATTTACTCCAGACCTCTTTATGGTGTACTTTCTCCTACATCCTTTTCAGCCTGCCCTCATTTAAATACTTGGTCCAGAGCTTCCTATGTTACCTCATATCTGGCCCCTCCTATAATGTATTAGCTTTCTCAATTTTTGCCAGTTCCTTGGTATCTTTTACCTTCTTTTGGCTGCCATATTTAGTCAGGGCAAGAGTTCCCTGTGACACAGGCATCCAGGGTGGGCATCTGCCTCCCCTGGCTATGTCGAGAGTCACTATATACTCTTAAAGTCATGTACACCTTTCACCCTGTGTGGCAGCCCTCTTCCCTCCACGAAAGTGATGGCTATTAATTTGCCATTGTTATGCAAAGAATCTTAAACACCATATCATCCACTTCCCCCTTCCCCCAATCAAGGGTTGTGGGGAATACACTGCTATCTTCAGTGGACCCTCACTCTGCACCCCATTACAATTCTCCTGTCTTAGACCTCTGGGCCCTTTGTAATCTTACAAAGTACAATAGGCAAAGGTCTAATAATCTTCTGGATCTATTCCTTGCTGGCCATGGCTGTAGTTCTATCTACCTCTTGCTGGTCATGGCTGTAGTTCTATCTACCCCTGGGTCCAGAGATCCCTAAAATATTGAGGTTGTGAAGCAGAGGGTAACCTTCACACATGAGGAAGAACCTTGCAGAGTCCAGGTCAGTTGCCTGTTCCTAGGGAGTGACATGCTCAATGTCCAAAGATTGGCACTGCTGAAGAGTTGGCAACCTTGTTGTATTCTGGAGGCAACACATTAGGCAAGAGGGTTAGAAGGCACAATTAAAACCATAACCACTAAATGACAAAGTTAGGGACAAATTCTACAATGCCCCACATTAGGAAATGAGTGGCTTTTCTGAAGAAAGGTGTACAAGGCATGCCACACCTGTCCAAAGCTCTTTTGCTCACTATATTAGCTTGGGCTGTGGGGAATATTTTAGGATCCCCCCTGCTTTTAGACCTCTGGGACCTTTCTGTAAAAACCTTTAGGGCAGAAAAAGAAACCAATTTTTAAAGTGAAGCCCACAGACTGCCCCACCCTTCACCAAACCAACCACTTAGTTCAGCCAAACCATTGAGTCTCAGGAGGTGATGATACAGATGGGCTCCTTAAGTGAGGCCCCTATTGTGTAACCAATCACTCAGGTAATGAGGTCACAGTTACACCCTATGAAAACAGAAAGAAGAACCCATTAAATCACATAACAGCCTACAAACTAGTCACTGTCGCAAGACTGTTTTGGGAAGACATCCAGTTGCAAGGCCTTTGCCAGAAATTTAACAGTGGCAATTTGACAGATCCTTTTTGCCTGTAAATTGAGCATCTATGATGATGTCGCAAACCCAGTTTCAACTTCCACATGAAAACAAACTTTAAGACAGCTGGCTGCACTAGTCTAATGTCCACCACTGAGCATTGTGATTTTCCTTGAATCACGATTTTTCCTCTTAGGATCACCCTCATTGTCATTAAAGGGATTGCATTAAGTCCAGTTTTAACTTTTCCTGTTTGCTTGCATAAACACAACAAGAGCAACAATTGATCACATATGATTTTTAAGTCTGTTTTGCTGGAATTCACACAAGGAGCATTTATTTTTTTTAATTTTTAAAAAATATTTTTATTTATGATTAGGCAGTGGGCAAGGGAGGGAGAGAGAAAGAGAGAGAAACATCGATGTGTGAGAGATACATTGATGGATCAGTTGCCTTTCGCACGCCCCCAACTGAGGACCCAGCCCACAATCCAGGCATGTGCCCTGACTGGGAATCGAACTGTCAACCTTTCGGTTTGCAGACTGGCAATCAATTTACTGAGCCACACCAGCCAGGGCTCGTACAACAAACATTAAGATTGACCCTTTAGTCCACTCTTCAAGGCACAGAGGCTAAGCCACACACCTGCCTTCTGGCTTCAGAGAAGCTGAAGTCTGTAATTCAGCATTCCCAGTCACAGTTCAGCTCCAAGCATCTCCAATGTAGCACTTGCTTCTTTTAAGTCCTTGAAGTTTCCATTGTGCCTTAAGGTTCCTCCTAGCCATCTTTCAGGAAAGCAACCTTTGGTCCTTCTCTGGAAAGATTGCTACGAACCACACAACCAACCAAGTTACTAGACCTTTTTTCCAGTAGGCTTTTGTTAGCATTAAAAGTTAATCCCAGCTCCTCAAGCCTTTCTGGTAACAACCAGAGCACAGGTATGCTTCCTTCAAGCATGACATTCCAGGCAAACTCTTGGTTGACAAAACCAACATTGGAAACTGGTCTTGTTGGTTTTATGTAAAGAAATCTTATGTCATCACTCCTTCAGAATGCCAAATTCTGGAGGGGTCAGGTAGGGATAAAAATATAAAGCAAAAAGGAAAATCCTTGTCTTTCAAATATCCACTAAAATTGCATTTCTATGCCTTATACTTGCCTTTATTCACTTTCCCAAATAGTGCAAAGCTTTAACTCTTTCTGGGAAATCTTAATTTCCTTCCAGAACAGAAGCAAAGCAAAAGGCAAAGCAAAGACAGAGTTCCAAAAGAAGAAGTGGTACTAGAACTAACTTTTGAATCTTGTCTTATTTCCTACCGTCCCCACTTACCAGTCACACAAGCGTGCTTTCCTCATTACAATATTACTTTTAGGAATATAGAGGTAAAATAAGAAAACTAAATATGAAAACTATAATGAGGAGTGTCATACTGTGTAGTAGAGTTTTCATCAACCTTGTTTAGACATGAGGAAAAGGAAAGCTGAAATGGGATGCATATCTCCCTTATCACAGTTGGCCTGTCTCTTAAGTCACAGAGTCAAGTCTGCATCCACTACTTAATAATGTCTCAACACTTTCTTCTCTAATGAATCTAAGAAATCTAATGAAGGGATGATGGTGAAGGCAAAAATGGCAAATGGGTACTTCAGGGGGTCCATTCCTGTTCATTTTGGGAAAGGGCAGCTCTTCCTTCCCTAGGTAGATTCCGTAGATTGCTGCTACTCCTGCTTCTGGATAAAGCCTGGTGGCAGCAATAAGACTGTCCTTTAGGCTGATACTACCATCTCTGCCTCCTCCCTAGTTACAGAAAAAGTAGCTACACTTGAGATTCCAGTACTGGGAAGTTCAGGCCACCCAAGTCTCACCCTAATGTCCTGCTGTCAAAGGATTCCAAGACAACTTCACCCAGATCCAAGAATAGGAATAGCCAGGGAAAGATAAAAAGCACTCTGGATTCCAGGGCATATAAAAAATACGGGGATTAGAAGGTTTAAATGCCTTTTTAGAACTAAAGACATTAATAGGAGAGAGGAGACACAGAAAGACCTTCCTGGCATCCTGCCCCATCTCAGCCTCAGATCGGAGGGTGATAAAAAATGACTTGTGGCCTCAGTCCCTGAGGGTCCCATGTTCCTTGCAGTTTTATCAGTTCCTATTCTTGTGAGCAGGGCAAGGTTGGTGGCAGCATGATTTCTTTTATGGTAGGTTAAAGGGTCAGGCCAGTTCCCCAACCCACTGGACTGCCCATGACTCAGTTATCCCTACTTACTTGATAGCCTGAAGCTTAATCGAAACTGCCTCCCACTTCCCACAATAGACATCTGACGCCAGCCATAATGGCCAATGGTCAGACTGACCTTCCTATACCTGGGACAGCCCAACCCTTTACCTAACCCATCCTCCCAACTCTCATTCTAAAACACTGAGGCCACCTCCCAGAAGAATGAGAGACTAACTCCTCCCCATCCCCCGACAATCCCCACCTCTTTCTTTTCCAAACCTCATTCTGACTTCCCTCCCCCCACTGAAAGGAAGTCATGGATAGCAGTAGTGAGGCCCCATGTTACACTGGACCTTAGGATGACGAGGGAGCCTCCACGATAAATCAGGAACACCTTTCGGCCCCGAGTGTCCCACATGTCCCAGGCAGAGGCCCACAGGCTGGGCATGCTCTGCCAGCCAATATGGGACTGCATATTGGCAACCAGCACAATCAGAGGATAGAGAACTAAGCAGGTGATCGTTCCATTGACACTCCCAGACACCAAGGCAGGAACCCAGTGGGGTAGCCCTTGCTTTGCCAAGCCATCCTGGATAGGGTCCTTGAAGGAGAAATACAGACCACTCCCCAGGCTGTTCCTGAGAAGAACAGGCCAGAAACCACGATAGTAGCCTAGTGACAGCCGCCCCCAAAGCCCATATGAGTTGAATTCCTTGAGAATGCTGAAGGTGGTAGGGAAGCGAGCTTGCTTGCGACCATCCTGGAGCACATTTTGTACTCTTTCAAAGGGGCTGAGTGCCACAGCCTCCACAACACCAGACATGAGCCCCGCAGCCCAGCGGTGTCCCAGGGAGTGTGGACCATCAGGGGAGAGAGAGCACAGCAGGCTATCGTAAGTCCCAAACAGTAGAGTCCCTTGCAACGTCTTGGAGAGAAGAGGTGGGTAGATTCCCGGTAGAAGTACTGGGGGCCTTCATGCCAAAGCTGTCGCAGAGCCTCTGACACTGCCATAGCATGGATCTGTTGCCGGAACACAACCTTGTAAATAGGAAAGGTCAGAAAAGTAGACATAAAATTGGAAATGGCCCCAAGGGCGTAGGCCTGGGAGTGCCAGATTTTCTTTCCAGGAGTTTCTGATTGTGTCCAGTGCTGAAGCTCATTCCCAGGAGAGTGGTTCTGTTCCCCCATGCTGGAGACAACTGGGTGCAGATGGAAGAAACTGGCAAGAGTTTGGGGGGGGGGAGGGTGGGAAGAGGTTAGGCTGACCGTTATATCTGTTGGTGAGAATTTTCACTATTTAATTAGAAAGAGCCCCAAAAAGCTCAGTTTAAGGAAACAAGCCAGTCTTTGGGACAGTTTCTGAGAAATAAGCACACTGTTAAGAAAAAACTAAAACAAAGACATTTAGTTTTTCTGGACAGAGTTACCTCTATAGTGTTTGGCTACACAGTAGAAGGTTAGAAGGTTTAAGATTGAAGAAAATAAAATTGAAAGAAAGGCTCCAAAACATGTTGCATTTAACTTCCACCAAATGAAAATTCACATTTGATAAATTGCTAGAATCATAAGTTACTATTCTCTTTCTGAAAAGCAGCACTATCTTGTTGAGGCAGAAAGGCATTCAAAAGTTATAGTTCTGTACTTTCTCTAAAAATTGGCAAAAAATTTGGGTGGTGGAGAGTCTCCCTCTATTTTCTTTCTTTAGATTCTTGCCAATGTTGTAACTATTTCATGGCAACACCCAACCCCCCTCCCCAGAATAAGGAGCAGAGAGAGGAACTGTTTCTGGAAATTTAGTGTCAAAAGGCTCCATAGCTAGCAATTTCCAAGTCTAACCCTATAGACTTGTAGCTACATGACACAGCACAGGTTTTCAGCCTTGATGCTATTTAGGCCAGATAATTCTTTATTTTAGTGCCTGTCCTCTGCATGATACAATATTTAGCAGTATCCTGGCCTCTACTTGCTGGGTACCAGTAGTACCAATTGTGACCTACCCAGCTGTGACAACCAAAAATATCTCCAGACATTGCCATATATCTCGGGGAGAGGACAGACAAAATTGCCCTTGGTTCAGAACCATTATACTAAAGAGAAGGAGCAGTACTCAAGAAGGAATTAATGCTCAGTGCAGATCTGAGAACCTGAGGGAGTTTGTCAGGAAGGAAGGAAGGAAGGGCTCTGCTGGGCTCAGAGGACAGGGTGTGCTGCAGTGGGAGATGGTGTGGGGGGAAAGAAAGCATAGATGTATGCGGAGGAGAGGGGAGAAGGGAGGAGAGAGCAATGACCAGGCTAGGAACTCAACATCTAGATTGACAGGAAGCCTGGTAGGAACTGCGGACCCAGAGGATTCACACAGAACCCTTGGCTGTGTGGTCCTGAGGTGAGGGAGGTTCTGAGGCTTAAATTACACTAGCAGTTGATGGCCTGCTCAATAGGGACAAAGGGATACCCTAGGCTGAGGCCAGGGGGAGGGGGAGAAGCCAGGCACTGCAAGAAGCACACTACAGCCTTCCCTGGGCTGCTGCACCCAGAACCTGCCTTGAAGGGCTCCTCCCTATGGAATCAACCCATCAGCCCTTTTTTCTGGCTTCTTGTTCCAGTTCCATCCATGATCCCATAAGCTCATCATACAACCCCCACCCCAAGCCACACTCTAACACTGTCTCTTGGTGGAGGGGCACAGAGGCTCAGCCTCCCCTGCTGTGCCATCACCCCTCCCCCACCCCACATTCCCTGTTTGCTTTAAGCCTCACCTCCTCACCCCCATGGCCAGAAGGAGACTAGGAGGGCCCTTCTGCCTGGGACCCTTTAGCTGAGAACTGACCTGGAGCAAAACTCCTTGCATCCTTCTGGAGCACTCCTGGGGCCCTGGCAGTCACCTCCATGTCTCCAGAGCCAAAAGGGACCCTTCCCCCACCTCCAGCAGGAGGTAGCTCTACCCAGAGCCACAGGGGCCCCCAACATTCCCCAGCCATCCTCCCAAGGGATTTCTTCCCCAACTTTTACCTGCACCTAAGTAAAGATGGGTGGTGAGGGAAATGTCTGTACCCTCTTCTGTCTCAGAGTGCAATAATGTTCCACCTCCCGCATGAAATGATTTACTCAGGTAAACAATCTATGTTATCATAAAATCTTTCTGGGCCCAGGTAGAGTAAAAGGAAAAATAAATAAAGCAGATGCTACATTTAACCACCACCTTTCTTTTCACTGGAGTTCTTTGGGAGTTCAGTACAGACCAATGCTTTGATAACTGTTCTGTGATTCATTCCCTTTCTACCCTCCTCCATGTGGTCTGTGTTGGGAACAAGGAAATTAAGAACTAAGTTTAACCTTAATAGACAAGAACCACATTGTAGCTAAAAAGAAATGATAAAAGAGACAAAGTACAGTCAAAGCAAACATCCTGTGTCTAGCAGACGCTCTCCCCCTGGTAGGCTAGATAAGCAGTGCTTTGTAGTTTTTAATGAGAAAATAGAAAACTAGCTAGCTAGAACCAGGAGATTACTAGGTTAATGAACAAACAGCCTGCCTTCCCGCCTTATGAAAGAATGCTTGGTTTGAAATTCCCGAGCACGGTCTTTGTAAGCGAATTACTAACTGCCACGTCTGCTTCTGTATAACGCTTGCTTGCCTGCCCATATATAAGAACGTAGTTGTAAGCGTTCGGCGCGGCTCTCGTTTGCAGCTCCTTGCGGGCACTGTGTCGCTGGACACTTTGAGAGTTCGCCCCTGCGCAGGTTAAACTTGGCCAATAAAGTAATATCTTTGATACCCTGAAAGTCTCCGATATTCATTCTCGAGTTTGCTGGATGCTACATTTTGGAGGCCCCAGCGAGATCACAGGTCGGAGACTGAAGGGACGGCTCAAGCCGGGTGAGTAGTGAGGATCCTCTTTCTGTTCCCGGTTTTGGCTCCGGAGTAGGGAAACTACCCTGAGGTGGTAGGTGGGACGCTGCCGGCAGTCCACCCAGGGGCTTCCAAGAGGTGGGACGCCGCCTGGGAGTTTTTCAGTTACTGGGAAAGAAAGTTCCGTGACCGGTCACATTAAAGAAGGAACTTTTGCGCTGCGCCGCGCTGCGATTGAAATATTTGAGTGTGTGAGTGAACAAGCTCGTGAGTGACTGTGTTTGTAGCCCCACGGGGAAACCTACGGGGCATGAGAGGGCCCTAACCAGCGGTTCCTGTGTCAGGTCATACGGCATCACAGCTGGCAGTCTAACCCGGACTCTGATCGGGCAGCCTTAGCCAAGATTGACATCACCTCGCGAGAGGGCAGGCCAGGCGGGCGAGCGACTGTGTTCTGTGTCTTGTTTTGTCTGCGCCTTGTTTTGTCTGCGCGTTGTGTCACAAGTTGACTTCTGAATTACATGCCTAATTCGTGTGTGAGGGATATTGCCTTGTCTGTCACCTTGTTGGTTTGTATTATTTGTCTCTTCTCCTATCTCCCGGACCTCATCAGAATGGGCCAACAGGAGTAGGTGCCGGGATCCCCACTTGATTGTCTGTTAAGGAATTTTTCCGATTTCCAGTGGCGAGCACGAGGGTATGGAGGACCCCCACCGGATCCGGAATTTTTTTAAGAACGTTAAGTCAACTCGAGTGGCCTGCATTTGATGTTGGGTGGCCCTGGGGGGGGGGACTTTTAACTTGCCCACCCTTTTTGCTGTTCGAGCCACAGTATACAGGGTTCCCCATCCAGATCAGTTCCTCTATATAGATGTCTGGGTCGACATTGCCACCAGCGGCCCCGATACATCAAGAAGTGTCAGGGTGGAAATCAGAGAGGGAGGCAGGCAGTGTGCCTAGCATCAGCGGGGAATAAGGCGAAAGGGAGGGGAACTGAGACCCCGGTCACCGCATCAGGTGGGCCCCCGGGACAGTCGAGACTGTACCCCATCTTACCAGGGCCGCTGGAGGACCATTTAGATCCTGTGAATGCACCCCCTGCCTTATGCCCGGAAGGAGGAGCCTGATTCTTCCTTGCAGGAGACAGGTGGAGTTTCCAGCCCGCCACATATGCGAGGGGGAACTCGCTATGGAACGGGCGCAGGGGGGCGGGGGGGCACCGCCATCTTGCCTCCTCCGGGAGGCGCCACCATCTTACTGCTCCGGGAAGCGCCCCCGGCACCGGATGCCCCGCCGCGGGCACCCCCACGGTTAATCTATGTTCCCTTTTCCACTAGTGATTTGTATAATTGGAAGCACCAGAATCCCCCGTTTTCTGAGAAACCCCAGAGATTGATTTCCCTCCTAGAAACCATTTTTAGGACTCACCAGCTGTCACAGGTGTGCACAGGTAACCAGGTTCTTAGTGATTGAGAACAAAGAATTGAACCGAACACACAAAGTTTATAGCATAAAGAAAGAGGGGAGGTTTATTAAGTGATAGTACATACCACAGGACACGGGAGTGAGCCAGCTCTGAGCAGAGGAAAAAAAAAAGGGCACGTGGGCTGGGGGATTCTATTCTTATAGGGGCAGAAGCCCCCTGCTAGTCTTTGGCGGGCTTTTCCTGCGCAGGTACAAGGAGTTGGATTTCAAAGCTACTGCGCATGCGTGGTTTCCCATGACTTTCTTGATTGGCTACTGGAGAAAGGAGTCCCACAATGTTATTTCATTATAATGATATTATAATGAATCAGGGGTAGCGCGCAGGCGCATTCTATGATTCAGAGTTGTCCCAGAAAACAGGAACAACCCGACTTAGGGGGTCTTTGTCATGTATAGGTGTTTTCTACCTCAGCCCTGCGGGGCCTTGGGAGCTTCCTTCCTGACTACCTCCTGCCTCACAGCCAACTTGGGATGATTGTCAGCAGATTTTGCAGACTCTCTTTACATCAGAGGAAAGAGACCGTGTTATAAGGGAGGCGGCAAAATCTGTATTAGGACAGGAGGGGGAGACAATAGCTGGTAGAAGTGAGATCGAGGACATCCTCCCCTCTCAACCCCCTGCTTCGGACCCTAATACTACTGGGGGAAGAGATGCGCTCCTCCAGTACCACAGGGTTCTGTTAAGGGGATTAAAGGCAGCAGCAAGGAAGCCTACCAATTTTAGCAAAGTCAGTTAATGGCTCAGAGAAAAGAAAATTTACATATGAAAGATAGAAGGTCAGAGGAGAGGGGCCAAGAAGATCTAGGTATTAGACTGCTGCTGGCTGATTAGAGTTCCTGCAGCCCCAGGGGATCCACTCCTGTGAGTGAAATGGGAACAGTGTGCCTGAACTGGCATCTCTACCTTGAATCGGTCAAAAAACCAGATTTGGTGGAGGAAAAACCCCTACTGGGGCAGGGCAATATCCTTTTCGGAGACTTTTTTAGTGAGAGTAAGGCCAGAAGGCCAGTCTGCTAGATGTTATCTGGCACATACTCTGTTTTGTACATTGGATCTGTTAAACTGGAAAAGCTCAAACCCTTCTTATGGACATAACCCTGCTAAAATGACTGATTTAATTGTGTCTGTTTTTTTTTTTTTGCCACTTATCTTCTCAATTGGGCAGACACAGGAGCCTTATGGAATTCTTTGCTTCAGTAAGGGGGGATGAGCAGAGACTGGTGTTGGATAAGGCAAATGAAAAGGCTTGGAGATTAAACCAAGAAAATCCAAATGGGGCTCTGGGCCTTCCCAGGGCAATACCTATAACTGAGCCCAACTGGGACCCTTAAGGGGATGGCCTTTCTCTCTTAGAGCATTATAAGGCATCCCTAAACAGAAAGTCTAAGTAAGTGCAGGCCGTGCAACAAAAGTCCACAGAGGACTCTTCCCAACACTAAGAAACAGTTAAGGAGATTCCCAAGGATGGCAAGTGACTGCTGCATTTGAATTCCAAGCTTTGGGCTCACTGCTAATCCACTGTGTGAGGCTCTGAAGGGACCAGAATATAGCCCTTTAAAGTGGACAAAGGAGCGCACTCAGGCTTTTGAGTCTCTGAAAGCGCACCTGGCTTCATCACCAGACTGGAATTGTCTCATGGAAAGAGAGTGAATGTGTGTATCAACTCAAGAAATCACACAGAAGGTTAGTAAAATCCTAGGAATTAAGTGAAGACTCCCATGCCGCATCCCCGACCGCTCTAAGACCCGGGCGGAGGGGGGAGAGGAACCATGAACTGTCAGAGGCACCAATCAGAATCGGTGAGTGCCACATGCTGAGTCTAAGTACTGAGTTTAAGTATAATCCTTCCCAGTGTGGGAAAGGAACCAGGATTAAAAAAAAAGATTAATGGTTAAATCTGAATGTGTAAAAATTATGTGTAAAGAATGTGAAAGTTTTAAACCTGGAGTAGAGGAAACCTGAATTGTTTTCTGGTTTTGTAGGAAACGAGCAAGATTTCTAACATTGGCGTTGTTTCTAATCTGAAACCTTCTGTACTTTAAGACCTAGGAAAGGTTGCCTGTAACTGGCTGGGGAGGATGCCTTTGCCACTCGGGACCCAGGCAGGGTCATTTGGGGCTGATAAGTGCATCAGCCATGGGCAAAGCAGCATGTCTCTGCCAAAAGACCGGGCCTGAAGAAGCATGTCTCTGTGAAAGAGAATGCCCCTACCTGTGTACTGTTCTGGAAACTCTGTGTTTTGGATTTTGCTCTGTATCTGCTCTAAAAAAGAAATTAAGAATTCCAGGGAAGGTTAAAACTTCACGCTCTATAGGAAAGTAAATAGGAAAGTGAAAGATACGTAAATGAAAAAAGGTGTATAAAAGAAAGAATAAAAGGTTTGTAAATGTTAAAAAGGTCTGTGGAAAACTGTAAAGATAAATGGAAAAGTGAAAGTTTTAGAAAAAAATTTATGTGGTGTGTGTTAGTAATGAAAGGTATAAGGCATAAAGATACAATCTTGGTGGATATCAGAAGCTGTATAAAATAAAGGGTTTGTGAATGTTGCAGAAA